CTCTGGCCTGTGCTGTACAAGCCAATGGGGAGCAGAAGGTCAATCTAGACTGAAGGACATTAGTTGAAAATCTGCTAGTAGAGTCAAGCTGGATTGAAATCTGCTGCTCTAGAGATGTTGATAAATCAAAAACACAGCAGTCACTTATTTGATTGTGTACATGAGTGGGTAAATAATCCATGTTGTTATCCATGGGACCAACAAGCACTAGAAGAAAACAGGAGTGTTTGCTGCAGGTCAACTCCAAGCTGTGTTCAGCAAACGTCTCCTCTGCTCAGCGTCTTTAGGCGCAGCTGAACTCTAAAAGGGTCCAAGGCTCACTATGCAGCTTTTAACCTACATCTAAAAGGCCACCCCATGTTATGAGTTCAACTTTAGCATTGGCATGTATGACATCACCCTCGCCAAAAGAAAAAACACAAAATAAAAACGACAGCATGGAAGAACGTAACCAACCAACAGCTGTCAAAACAAATGGTGTTTATACACTGACCTCCATGGTTCCCCTTCCTAGGGGTAAGTTTAGGGTAGGAGGGTTATTTGCAAAAACTCCTTCTCTGAGGGTAAACATTCTGGCTGTTAGAACCAAGTGAGGCGTGCTTTTGCTCTGAATGCTCCCTAATGAAGCAGAGCAAGAGAGGAGGACCAGGATGTGCATTTGTCATTGTCTCACTTGATGGAGGACACTGTTGAGATGCAGAGCTGTTACATAAAGCCTTTGTTGTGTTTGTTATGTCATGAAGTTCAGGACTGCAGCTGAATTTATGAGTTAGGGGCCTAAAATCAGACCCTCAAGCCTACCTGCAACAGTCTTTAAACTAAAAACATTTCCTATAAACCACTGCTTGCACCATGGAAGCTTTAGGTTTCTGTACTGTGTCACAGAATCTTCAAAGTTTCCTCGGAGAGACGAACGATAATCGCTTTGCTCTGGATCCCTGTCAGAGGGATGATGATTGGATTTTCTATTCAGCCCCATTTATTCCGATAACCCTTCAACCATTTGTGGTGCGCTTGTCAAATCTAATGTGGGGAAGGATGCACTAAACATCACCCTGAAGTGACACATGGTGCCTTCTATCACATAAAATCTTCATATCAATCAGTGGAACCTCCGAATAGGAATTGTTCTGAACATCTAATGGCGCCTGACTGCCGCCAATTACACATCTTTTTCCCCAATAACAAGGCCTAGGACAGTAACCTGACTCCGCCAGATGGATTTGCTCCGCATATCCAT